CTTTGACCATATTTACAGACCTTTCAAAGCACAGCTAATGAGTGTTTTTTTGTTAAACTCAAATATATGTTTGTGCTTTCAGTATTTTTACTGTTTAGTGTGTATACTCCCCATCTGCTACCTATCAGCCTCATACAATCATTCTATCCATTATGACTTTATTTTCTCTTACAGCAGTGTGTCTGGATAGAGAGCAAAGACTTGTGAGCATAAACATTGTTTTCTAATAAAATACAGATTTCTGTTTAATTGGGGAATCAAATTTTGTTGTGCTCTTTGAGATAAGAGCTTGATTTTATTTTATTTTGATGCGGTTTTTTTTATACCAAATATATGTATTTAGTATTAAACACAAAAGGGTTTAAACAAAGACTTTTTTTTCTCCAGTCCAAAAAGTCTTTATTTTATTTTATTTTATTTTATTTTATTTTATTTTATTTTATTTTATTTTATTTTATTTTATTTTATTTTATTTTATTTTATTTTATTTTATTTTATTTTATTTTATTTTATTTTATTTTATTTTATTTTATTTTATTTTATTTTTTACAGTATTGTATCGTATTTTATTTTATTTTGATGCTGTTTTCTTTTCTATTAAATATACAGTATGTATGAATGAATGAATGAATCAATAAATGCATGTTTTTTTCATAAACTTTATTTTCTAGTTACATACATATTTCTTTTTAAATTTTGTCTTGATCTTTGAGATAAAAGAGCTTGATGTACTAGATAAACATGCAGTAAGTTTCAAAATAGCCCACTTGTTTATTTGTTTGTTTCTTTGTTCTAATTATTCACCTATTTTTTATTTATTATTATTATTTTTTTTTTTTACATATTATTTATTTATTTGATTTTGGTTTGTTTTCTACCAAATATACAGTATGTATAGTACTATACATAAAAGGGTTTCACTTTGGTAATTATTTTTCGGGTGGGAATCATATCTTGCCTAGGGTACCAGGATCACCTCTATATCAGGGTTCCCCATTTCCAAACTCCCAATTTAATTGATTACAAGAGTCAGAGAAATGGAGGAAAGTGGTTTGCGCAAGACTATTTTAAACTTTAATAAGTAGACCTTCGAGGAAACAAATTACTCTGACCCCAGCCAAAGCCTGCAAGCACAAACATCTTAAACAAAGCCGGACCAGCACTGTGTTTCCCATCATGCCAACGGCTGTTTTAGAGACTCCAGCCTGTTGTCAAACATGATTATTAATGCTGAAAACAGCAGGTGTGTTTCTGGTGAGGGGTGACTAGTGCAAATCAACATCAGAGAAAAAAAACACAAGGTAAGTGCTGAGAAACTATCAAGGGAAGAACTAGAAGCAAACCGATAAGTAAGTGGCCAAAAAAGGGACAAGTTGGGACGGGGGTGATAAAAGGGCGTAAAGTGAGTAATAGTGAGGGAAGAGAGACAACGGGAGACTTTGGAATGATGTAGGAGACCGAAAGAGAGAGATGAAGGAAGAGAATATGGGATTGGCAGGGAGGGACGGCAAAGCTGTGAGTCAAAGCTGCCAAGGACAGTTAGCCCTGCTGATGTCATCAGGAGGCGAATGGCGTCAAACGCAGCCCACGCTCGACGTCCCCGCTCCCGCCCCCTGTGCTCCGATTGGCTATGAGTGCATCTGACATCATCGTCTCAAGAAGGGAGAGGAAACGCGAGGCTGTGGCGTTTATCTGAGGTCATTCAGATTCGAGCCGGCTTCTGGCTGTGTGTGTGTGTGTGTGTGTTGGCACCCATCCGCTTCACTCTTAGCCATGTCACAGCGCTTTACACCTCTCTTTTATCTCCCTGGATGTGCTCGTGATTTCCACTGACAGACGAGTGATAGCAATCAGCCCGACCATCAATCCAGAGCTCAGCGCCGCAGCGACTCTAGTGGAGTCTTCCTTCCTTCAACATCATCATCCATGTAATTAGATGTGCTTGCTAAAGCAGGCATCAGTGCGACTATTGCTCATACTGCATTCATGTCATGCTACAAGCATGCTGTGGATGTGAATGATGCCTCAAAATATGCAGAAGGCTTTCATTTTCGCCCTCGCCATTGACGAAATGTACAAAAAAAAAAACAAACTGCTCAACTTTTAGAATGTAATTTATTGCTGTGATGCAAAGCTGAATTTTCAGCATCATTGCTCCAGTCTTCAGTGTCACATGATCTTCAGAAATCATTCTAATATGCTGATTTGCTGCTCAAGAAACATTTCTTATTTGTTTTCATATAACAACACAAAATCATGTAGCCTTACAATTCCCCAATTTGCTGGGGTAGTATTGAAATCTATCCAAAATCCAAACACATTTTAATGAAGTCTTTTAGTCGCCTGACGTAACAACTTGTTGCACGATGAATGGCAGAAAATCACATGATGAAATTCAGTCCGCAATAAAAATAAGTGTTTTTTCGCCACAGAATTTAAAGGGATAGTTTGCCCAAAAATGAAAATGTTGTTCATTTACTCACCCTCAAGCCATCCTAGGTGTCTATGGCTTTCTTCTTTCAGATCAATACAATCAGAGTTATATTAAAGGTCCCATATTGTCAAAACTGAAATTTCCTGGCTTTTTTCATGATAACTGAGGTCTAGGGGCTATGTAACTACTATATAAGTTTCAAAATCAGAAAACAACAGGCCAATCAGAAGAAAGGCTCATGAATATTAATTAGACAGGCCAAAATCGACCTGTTCTCAGCAGAGCTCCTGAGAGAGGAGCTGTAAAAATATATTGAGATGGTTTTTGGTACTTATACCGCAAATATATATTCTTAAGGACATCAAAACCTAAAATAAAACTCCAGAAAAGTGTAAAATATGGGACCTTTAAAATTGTCCTGGCTCTTCCAAGCTTTATAATGGCAGTCCATGGTGGTCGAGAATTTGAGGCAAAATATAGTGCATCCATCCATCATCAAAAGTTCTCCACACGGCTCCGGGGGGTTAATAAAGGCCTTCTGAAGCGAAGCGATGCATTTGTGTAAGAAAAATATCCATATTTAAAACTGTATAAACGGTGAGAATATGCTAGTCTCACGAGAACCAATTCATTCATTCATCATAGGATCAAATACGCCAGTATTTTGACTCATTTCCAGTCTGAGCGACTGTCAGGTGTCCGAAAGTGAGTTTTGATTGGGTAACTCATAGATTTGTGCTGCTCGAGTCACAAGCTGTTTCAGATGATTCAGTCCAATTTGGTGAACTGGTCCAATAGAAGTTTAAGTTGACTAAGGCCAATAAAAAGCACCAAGAACAACCACTTAGCAACTCTACAACACCCAATTATTGTGGCTTGAATTATTTCTTCAGAGAAATCATGTATTTAAATCAAATTCAAGCTCGCACTCAAATCAGGTCATGCTTATTCAAGCTTGGAGACAATTAAAACGAACATTTAAAAAAAAAAAATGTATTATAATTTTTTGCAATTGGTTAAATGAGTATTTGAAACAAAATTTTAATTCGGTGGTCTTGAGAGAGGTCAGAATCGTTAATGCCTCCACTTGGGAAAGGAAGGGAGAGTTGATTGATTTGGACGTGTGAAGGTAGATTTATTCCGGTTTCTGTTGCGTCTGGCTGAGCCAGGCTTTGACCCCTGAGCATTCCCTTCATTAACATATAAAGCACATTTCCCTCACATCTGAAGGAATGCCTCACTGGGTTAAACAGTGATGCGAGAGAGAGAGAGAAAGACGGGAAAAGAGAAGAAAATTCTGTTTGTTCACTCTTCCGCTCACCATAGGTCATACAGGGTTGCAAAGCAAATAATGACTATAATCACATCAGAAATAGCGGCACTACTTCCAGCACTGATCGCCTGAGAGCCACACAGCCTTGTCGCTGACTGCCAATCTTAATAATTCCTCGACTTGTGGATCTTAAAAAAAAAAAAAAAAAAAAAAACTTTTCTTCTCTGGATTTCTCCTCTTCTCATGCTTGCTTCGTAATCTGCTCATCAATAAACCTGGCATTGTATATTGCAAATATTGTTGATTGCTTGAAAAATTGCTTTGGATAAAAGTGACTGCTAAATGCATAAATGTAAAACACAATTAGATGCATTTAATATGCTGTCATATGAGTTGAAGCCAGCGTGAAACATCATTCGCAATCAGTGCTGGGTAAGTTACTCTAAAAAAGTAATTAATTACTAACTACAAATGACATCTTCAGCATTGTAATTGGATTACTGTACTAATTACCTTCTCTAAAAGTATCGCATTACTTCTTACTAATTACTTTCTGAATCCCAAATCAGCCTCGACCAGCTGAACAATACAAGCATAGACATGAAACTGCTCTTTAATTCTTTCAAATTAATAATACAAAATTGCATGAATTATTTTTAAACTGACCAAAGTATTTAAAGAGAGAAGGTTACATTAAAAACATATAACATTAGATATTTTATATGGAATTGTTCTGTAGTCTATATAGTATTTAATGCAATTACAACAGAAGTAACTGTAATTAAATGACAGAAAAATCTAAAGTAATTCCTTACTTTACTTTTTCAAGGGAAAAGTAATTAATTACTTTGTAATGCATTATATTTGACTTCATCTAATGTATGAATGAGTGAAACTAAATATTCAGTGACAATCAATATATTTGGGAATTGATTGGCTGGTGAAAAGTAGGAGAGGAGCCAAAGTAGAGGTGAAGGTTATTGTGTTTTCATGAAAGATTATGGAACATTTTAGTTTTATTTGGAATAACATGAACCGATGAATCATCCACAATATAATCAAAAACGTTCCTTGAAAGGTGGGTTTTGCTTTCAGGTTGACTTAAAGGGTTTATATGTACATGCTGCAACACAACAGAAGAACGTCAAGGTTTTGGATTCGGGTGGATTTGTTTTGACTAGTTGCATTCATCCTTGTTGAAACATTTGTCTTTGCGTGACAGAATGTCACACTCTTGAGGAGCAAATAATAAAATGAGTAGGTTTTCCACTCAGTTGTTCGTTTCTTCTGCAGCTGGTGCTGGGAATAAGATGGGTTGGGCTTTTGGTCTGGGGCTGGAGAGGCTGGCTATGGTTCTGTTCGGGATCCCTGATATCCGACTTTTCTGGAGCGAGGATGAACGCTTCCTCAAGCAGTTCCGCCTGTCTGACATCTATCAGCCCGTCACCTTCCAGGTAAGATTTACAGCCTTTCTCTAAAATAAACATCTCACCTAGTAACCATGAGGGCCGGTCACAATAACTATAAACTTTTAATAATAATCATTCTACACTACCGGTCAAAAAGTCTGGAATAATTAATTTTTTGAAAGAAGTCTCTTCCGCTCACCAAGGCTGCATTTATTTGATGAAAAATATAGTGAAAACAGTAATATTGAATTATTATTACAATTTAAAATAACAGTTTTTTTATTTAAATGTTGTTGTTTTTTTTTAAAGAAATGTATTCTGTGATGGCAAAGTCGATGTCACATGATCCTTCAGAAATCATTCTAATATATTGGGAAACTGTGATGCACTACTATTCAATTTTATTCATTTATTTATTTGTTTGATTAATTATTTATTTATTTAAAGTGACAGAAAAAAAAACATTTATAATGTTACAAAACAATTCTATAAATCAAAGAAAGAAAGAAAGAAAGAAAGAAAACAATATGTACTGTGGCCGAGAAGTGCAAAGCAAATCACAATTCTGAAAACAAAATAACAAATTACAAACGCAAATGCAAGTCTAAAAAACAAAATAACAATTCAGAAAGCACAACAACAATTCAGAAAACATTATAAGAAGTCAGAAAACACAATGACAAATCCGAAAACAAATTAACAAGTCAGAAAACACAAGGACAAATCAGACAAACCGGAAGAGGTAGGTATAGTTTGAGACAGCGCCATTGGTTTGGGATTACTCACCGCTGACTGGACCTGATACCTGTCAATCAAAAAATACGGAGTGTCTATTTACATTTAGTTAAAAGTGGCTGTAAACCGTCAGTTCCAGTGGCGCAGCTGGATAAGTGCTTGTCGTTGGCATTTTGCAGATGTCTCGTCCAGTTGTCTCAAACTATACCTACCTTTTCCGGTTTGTCTGATTTGTCGTTGTGTTTTCTGACTTGTAAATTTGTTTTCGGATTTGTCATTGTGTTTTCTGACTTGTTATAATGTTTTCTGAATTGTTGTTGTGCTTTCTGAATTGTTATTTTGTTTTTTAGACTTGCATTTGCGTTTGTAATTTGTTACTTTGTTTTCAGAATTGTGATTTGCTCTGCACTTCTCTGCCACCGTAAATATGTCCAGGTTTCCACAAAATAATAAGCAGCAAAAACTTTTTTTTTTTGATTGATAATAAGAAGAACCATTATTAATAATTGAGCACTAATTGATAACAATTGAGCATCAAATCAGCATATTAGAATGATTTCTGAAGGATCATGTGACACTGAAGACTGGAGTAATGATGCTGAAAATTCAGCTTTGATCACAGAAATAAATTACATTTTAAAATATATTCAAATAAAAAAAACTATTATTTTAAATTGTAATAATATTTCACAATATTACTGTTTTTACTGTATTTTTAATCAAACAAATGCTGCTTTGGTAAGCAGAAGAGAAGCAGACTTCTTTCAAAAACAGTAAAAACAATTTAATGATTCCTACTTTATCAGTATTATTCAGTATTATAAGAAAAGGGAAGCCCATGCCACAGCTATAACAATAACAATACATAGGAAAAATATTGCTGGAATCACTTCCAATTTGTACGCTATTTTATTTGAATTTTAATTATCCTGATGGTTATCGTTCTTGATGTGAGCAGGCCTTTAGTGTCAAAACTAGTCTCAGTTATTGTACGGTAACAGCCATAAGTAAGCCATTTGTTGGTTGACTTCCTAAAGAGTGTGATCACTACAACTCAGTGTTGCTTTAAATATATCGCTCTGTTTGACCAAGAAGCCTGAGATATCAACTTCTGATTCAATCAGTGTCATGAGTTTGGGTGCAAGGCTATCAGTTTCATTCTGTCTTAGCATTAGATAATGTAAATGTTTAATTCACCAGCATATAAAAGGATCCAGACTCAGCTGAGCAGATCACAACAGGTTCATAATTTTTCCCAGTGTGCATTTCTCTTGTGATGTCACTAAGTTTTGCAGTGCCGATGTATCAAATTCATATTCTGCTCCTCTCTTTCTGCACCGCCTCTCTCCATCTTCTATTTTTTTCTCGTTGTTATTATTCTAAGGGTCAAATGAACACACGCAGTATGCTATCCCATAATAGTCAGTCATAAGCATAACTGCAAGCGCACAGACCGTGTCGACCATAGCTTTGCAAGCTCAATCAAAACAGCTGTTCTGAAAACACTGTCACTGAATTCACTGACGTCTGAATCAATGTGACGATGATTTGTTTTTGTACCACTTAGGTGCAACCTGTATGACAAAGGCATGTGCGTCTTGTTTCTAAAACCAGCCCTCTAGATAGATGTTGAGCTGGGAATATTGCTTTTTCTAAGTATATGGAACATATAATAGAGGGGCAAAAAGATTCGACATGCAGTTGCTGGTAAAATGAGAATCCCATTAAACCTGGATTGCTAGATTTTCCAGATGATCAGGCATCTTGGTATTCACATATAATAATGTGAATATTGTTAAATATTATTACAGTTTAAAAGAATTGTATTTTATTTGAATATATTTTAAGCTTTAATTTATTCCTGTGATGTAAAGCTGAATTTTCAGCATCATTACTCCAGTCTTCAGTGTCACATGATCTTCAGAAATCATTCTAATATGCTGATTTGCTGCTCAAGAAACATTTCTGATTATTATCAA